TGTTCCCACTGGCATTCAAAGACAATGCCATAGGGATTGTTTTCCTTGTTAAAGGAAACCACTCTACAGATTCTGATTATTTTGCAGAACATCTGGTTTGCAAATGAGAAGAACTCTGGGGCATGGACTGCACAGAGTGAACAATTTTGAAGAAGCTTTTAACAAAACTTGAAATCGCTTAACAACAACAAAATCAGCTCCCTTCCTGCTGCTCTAGGGCTCACAATCTTCACTCTAAGGTGAAGGTGACATTTTGAAAGTAAGCTAGGGCAGGGGAGGTATCTCCATGGGTAAAGTGCTTGTTCCTCAAGCACAAAAGCCTAAGTTAGGATCCCAACACTCATGAAAGAAACTGGGTATGGTAGTGTGTGCTTATAGTCCCAGCACTTGGGAGCAGAGACAAGAGGATCCCAGGAGCTTACAGACACCCAGTCTGGACAAAATGGCCGGCTCCAGGATCAGTAAGAGGCTCTGCCCAAAACAAACAAACAAATAAATAAGTGGGTGGAGACAGGGTTGAGAAGGGCCTGGTGTCAACCCTTTCCTCCACATGCACTCACACAGGTAAGTACGCACACTCATAAACAATACTTGTTAACCCCATACACAAGTAAAAGAGCTTTCCTACGTAGAGCACTTCGGTTTAAGCCTTTTAGCTTAGCTCTGTTCTTAGCCACTTTCTCCATCATTAAGGAATGGTCAGTTAATTAAGCAGAACATAGGTGGCAAGGAAATTAATTGGAAAACCAGTAGAAAATACATTTCAAACTCAAATTTTCCAGCACTTATTTTTTTCTTTCAACAGATTTCAAATAAGTTGAAGTGGGCGAAGGAGAAAGAAAAATACCCATATTTAATCTATATTGGCAAGCACAGCACAGCTATGAAGTAAAATTGTCGGGGGAATTCTTTGCCTGCCCTGGTGCTGAGATTTAAAGCCCCTCCATAGCAGAGACTGAAGAGGAATTCAATTAAGAAAGCCTGTTGGTTCCGTATTGACTTTAGTTAAGAAAATAAACTAGGGGAAAGTGTATTAAAATGTTGCCAGGCTGCTTGTCCCACTTCCCTCTAAGCTTACGGCCAGCAAAACAGGGCAGTTTGAAATTCTTGCAGCTAAGCTCTGCTCTAGGGTAAGCTAGTTTCTCTAGGTTGTACCTACAGCAGTTTCTAATGTCCACCCTGAACTCACGTAGCCTTACCATGACTCTGTGTCATAATGCAAGAACATCTCAGATCAATTGGTAAGCAAAGTATTTAAGGTGGTGAATTTAATTTTGTTCTAGGATTTTCATTTTCATTTATGGCACCCGTTGTGTTAGAGACCACGGACTAATTTATGGATTAGTTTTAAGCCCCCAGTCTGTCACACTCAATGAACAATTCTGAGTTGGAGAGAATCCATCTGAAAGGATTAGAACAGGCCACAGTGGGGCTTACACATGACTGTTTCTACTAAATATTGCCCAGTAGCCTCTCAGGCAGGTTCTAGTTTTTATTTTGTCAGTTTTGTTTGTTTGATTCCCTCTCTTCTTGGCTACTTGGTTAAGTGGCTATTTACTGTCTCTAACCTTCTGACCTCACACGACACTGTAGCTTTTTCATTTTACAAATACTTTTTTTTTTTTACTTCTTTTTCAGTTTGTTGCTCAGAGAGAGATATCCTTATAGTTTAATTTTTCTTCTCTGTTTCAATACACATATTTAATTTTGCAAATATCTTACACCTCAACGTGAAATATCTGTGGTTGTTTTGTTGATTTGAGGTGGAGGCATGTTAACTGTTTGCAGGACTGTGAAGCTAAGAAGGGAAGTCAGTGTTGCGACATGAGTACCTTCCAGATCATTGTGGGTCCTAGCTCACATACCTTCTTTTTATTGTAGACTCATGAACCAGCTAGGAATGCCGAAGAACACTTTACATACACTCAGCGTTTGTGAGAACATGGGTTGACTTTGTTTTATTTGTTTGTTTCATCCTTCCTTTTAAACCATATAAAATAATACACAAATACATTTGTCCTCAGTATTATTTAAACTAGAGACAACTTTTTGTGACCTATTTTCTCACAGGCCTAGCTAGCTCAAAGGCTTTTTTTTTTTTTTTTTTTTTTAAGACAAAACAATGAGATTTAAAAACCTTTGTGAGGGCAGCTAGACACTATTTCAAGCCATTTATTGCATTTATAACTTACACTGGAAATGTTTGCATTTATTTACCCATAAAATTAAAATACTATAAGATGTTCCAGTGAACACCCAGAAGCTGATTCTTGGGGTGGGGGTGAACTTGCACTTTTTTCCACTCTGATGAAGACACCCTACTAAATCATGCTTCACAGCTCTGGACTCAGTGCCACAGAGCCAAGCTGTCTATGATTTCTGCATGGTGTCATAATGCAGTTATGAAGGAGATTCAGATCCTGTCCTAATGTGCTCCCCTACACACACAATGAGGAGCACACAGTCACTTCTAAAGCATTGTCCCTTCTCTCTTGACTTGAAGTAGCCTCTGCTCGGGTCTTATACATACCAGATGCTCTGTGAGAAAAGAGTCAATAGCTCCCCAGACACACTCTTAATCCCCACTTAAACCCCATAGCCAACCTGTGTTCCTGCTACAGCAGCCCATCCTTTGATGCTCATAGGTTTGCCATTTCCAACTGCAGTAATCATGTTGTTTGACTTGAATATGTGTCTGCTTAACTGTTTTAGAGTGTTTTTCCTCAATATCCCTTTTTCTTTTCTGTTGGGTTCAATTGATGGATTTCACATCCCTAGAGTTGGGAGCAAAATGCACTGTGGCCGTGGCTGCGTTTATTGTCTGCTGCCCATGTAAGAGCTGATGCCTGGCTTCATCTGGTTTAATTTTGTCATGAAGCTGACATGTTGTAATACAGGAAGACAGTAAATTGGGATAATTGGTCAATGCTGAGATCTGATTTTATGACACCCCCCCCTTTTTTTTTTTTTTCATTTTATACTAATGATTTACCTGGTTTAAAAAAAAAAAAAAAGGTGTGTTAAAAGTGCTACCACAAAAATAATGAGCCAAAGCATTTATTGCTTTTCTCTTCAGTTTTGGAAAGGAGCCAATGCCTGCCCATAAAATGTTTTACACGCATATGAATGTTTACACAAATGTGCCTTTGATCCTGCCCCTCAAATTTAAAGTGCCTCATGCCAATGTTGGTCTGGGATGTCTCAACTATGGAGATGAATTTGTCACTTTTAAGGGTCTGGTGTAGGGTTTGTTTCAACTGTACAACTTCCCGTGTTGTTTTCACTGCTGTTTTAGGCACACAGACTTGACTTGTAAGTATTCTTCTGCAGTGTATTTTATGGTTTTCTCTCTTTCTGTCCTTGAGAAATTTACTGATCAGTTATGTCAAGCTGCATTTGTCCTCCCAGACATCTGGTTAATTCTGGCTCCTTAGAAGGGCTCTGATTTTTTTTTTTTTTTTTTTTAAATGGCAACAGGGCCCCTGTGGTCCCAGAAAGCATGCCAACTGAAGGGGAGCACCGGTGTGAACTCATGTGTCATATTTACAAATCAGAAGCTCCAGGCTCACTTGACACCCACACACACCCACACACACCAAAACAGTTCTATGTTTGATGTTCCAGTGCATTTAAACATTGCCTGTGTCAAGTTCAAGTCATTGAAAACAATTGCCAGCTAAAGCCCTCCATCATAAAAAATGGCAGGGGATTGCTTGTGATTTTCAACCCTCAGTCTCCCACTTCACCAGCAGCAACTTTTGACCGAGGAAGGGCTGGTAGAAAGAACACCCTTGAAAACTGAAAAAGAAAGGGGAGCCTGGCGCATTGACGTTAGAATGGAGTTGGCTGGAAGAACTCTATTTAAGATAACTGGAAAATGAAGTCCTCCATGACTTTGTTAGCTATTCACACCACTTCCGTGGCCAAATGTGAAGAGAAAAATTATTTCTTGAGTACTTTGGAGGAATTTTCCTGTAAAGAGAAACCATTGGCACAACCTAATAGGAACAAACTTGAACAATGTCAAGAATAGAAGAGCTAGGCTACACGTGGAAGAGCACCAGTGAAGATGGGGACTCTGTCTCCTGACACAGCCAGGGCAGCAGAGCCCTGACAGCCAAACCTGGCAAACCTGGGGTGTGGTGCTCAACACAGACAGGGATGGCTGGATTCTTGAGACTTTGACGTTCTCAAGTGGTGTTTATCCAGTTGTGTGAACATGTGTGTTTTTGTGACAGGCCTCATAGATTATGACATATCTTATAGAATGAAGAATCCAGGATCTCTGTGTGTGTGAGTGTATGTGTGTGTGTGTGTGTGTGTGAGTGTGTGTGAGTGTGTGTGTGTGTGTTGAACATATTCACTCTCATGGCTGCTCCATGAATTGAACTTACCAGCTAACTTCTGATGAAATAATACAGTGTATAGAGAATTGGAATCTGTGTTGCACATTCACCTGCGAGCATCTGAGCATCACCTGGAAAAGTGTCCTCTTGACAGTGGAGTTGATTCCTATGATGTCTAATTGCTAGTCAAGAAGCCCTAGGGCCCACCCAGGTGGGTTGGGTTAAAACAAAGGCAATGTTTGAATGTCTGAATCCATTGTTTAACCAGCCTTCCAACTGAGCTTTTCTGTCACAGTCCTGAGCTTCTATGCTTTAAGAGCCATCTATCAGCCACTGAGTTTGCACTGGTGTTTCTCATCACTTTGCATGTCCCCTAACAATTGACTCGCAAATACATGTGTCCTGGCAAGACACCCAGAACCAAAGAATTTACTGTTTTCCTCCCTGGCTCGCAGCTTTGAGCTCAAGGCATGTCTTAAAACAGTGCACTCACTTCAGATGCTCTTTGCTTTTTATTTATTATTGCTTGTCACGCGGTGTTCTTTGAAAGCTTGCTCATATATTATCTGTTCCATTTTTTTTCCATTCTCCCTTTTTTTGCATGCTGTTCCTCCTGTTTCTTCCCTTCCTCCAATCCTCTGTTCCCGTCTGTAGACACCACGGCGACGACAGAACCAGCAGTTCACGGTTGGTATCACATTACTGTTTATCTACTTTCTCAGCGCTGCTGAGAGGCAAGGCAAGCCTGGGAAAAAGAGAAATGCAGTCTTCAAGGGAACTCACGCTCCAAATAGACTGATCTCATAAATGCACCATCATTTTTTAATGTTTGACACCACACTGAGTCTTGTCATTTCTGTTCTGAGTTCAGTGGCCAATGGTTGCAGTCTGATATGAGGCCTCCTCCCTGGTGGCAAGTGTGGCAGGATGTCCATTACACGTTCTTCCTTACTTATAAAATAATACTTGGACTAAATAAGACTCAAAAAATTATTTTTAATTAAATGGGGGGAGAAATATTTGTCTACTGAGTTGCATCTGAAGTAAAGGCTATGTTCCTCCATGAATTATCCACCCAGTCTCTGTTCATTTAAGCTTATGTTCCTACTAGTAGGAAACACCTTCTCAAAGAATGCTCCTCAAGTCCATTTGAACATAGAATTTTAAGGTAGTCTTTGGTGTGTGGTCAAATATAAAAAGTGGATTGTGTTGTTTTTAACCAAAAGATGAATAAAAACTGAGTGCATATAATCTTCAGATAGGAACATCAGGACATATTATCTCCTTCCCTGTCAAACTAGTGGACTAACCAATGGGAACAGGTCTATTAACTTTTCTTTCCTTCTTTCCTTCCTTTAATCAGAAAGCGAGAATCCTGTTTCATCTGTATATAATTTTTACTCAGCTCAAAACTAACCTTGGAAAGATTGTGCTTAGAGCAGATATGCTAGTTTTAGAAGGGGCTGAGTTATTATAGTAGCTAAATCCAAGGGAATCATTTGGGAAAGGGCCTGCTTCAATCACTTTACATGCTGTGCAGGGTGAAAATCACTTAAGTGACAAGAGGTGATCAGCAGCCTTGTAGTGTTCATTCAGCTTAAAGACTAACATCTAGCCCACACTGACAACTATATCTGAGAACTTATAAGTTGGAAATCTGTGAGTAAAACCTGTGTTGGGCTGTTGTTGGAGAATATGCTTTAGTCCAGATCAGTTTAGCAGGGCTCTCTCTCTCTCTCTCTCTCTCTCTCTCTCTCTCTCTCTCTCTCTCTCTCTCTCTCTCTCTCTCTCTCTCTCTCAGAGCAACACAAACAGGTAGGAAATGATGGGGTTTCCAGCCTACTCCCACTTCATTATGTCCTAATGTCCATGCAATAAGTTAAAGGGGCCAGGTATACCCCATAGTCATAAGAAATCAGTTATATATAAAATGTGCGTGTTTTAAGGTGATGTCCATAGAGCTGGCTACATCTCAGACACTGAGCTCCATTACATTTAGTTGTTGAGTACCTCCTGACTTTTTTTTTTTTTTTTTTTTAAGTACTCCAAGTTTTAGGCTTCTAGAATTAATTCCAGGATCAAGTACAACCTAGGTTTCCAAATTCTCTGGGCTCTTTGAAGAAATAGTGACAATTTATCCCTAAAGCTCCAAAGTTCCATGTTTTAGGTCCCTCAATAAAAACCAAGCACTTATTTGTTTGTGGAACTGGTACTTAAACATCTGGATAGGTTATGCGAACTAGGAAACTTGTCCTCTGATGTGAAAATGAAAGCATCAACTAGAAGCCAATTCAGATTAGGGGTTACTCATCTTAATTAGGTCTATCTCTTTAAAGAGATCAAAAGGGGAAGGAGTCTGAACACTGGGATTGGGACCAGTTAGCACACTGGTGGCAGGACTCGGGGCTGACTGTCCCATGAGAAGCAGCCACCATCTTTTTATTTGGGGACAAGACCACATCAGGGTCCTAGGGTGAGACAAACAGATGTGAGAAGTTTGTGGGAGAAAGTAGCAAACACTGCCTTCTTGTATCATGTGTCTCTCACACCTTCAACTGGACTCCTTAGCAGCAAAGGACCAGAGAAGTGACAAATCATCCCAGATGACCCCTGCATAGTGCATTTGTAAGTTCATTCTTCAACACATCCCTGATCCTCATAGTCACTTCTCAAAGTGTCCCCCAATATTTTGACCTGCTGACTCTCAAGCCTATAGCCAAAAGCACTAATGAAAACCAAAGCAGTGTCTGATATTTTACTTGATGAAAAGGAAAGAAATTTTCCAAGTCAGTTGTAAAGGGTAACAGGGTGTGGTGGAAATTACAGACAGAGGAAGAGGGTTAAAAGGAGATGATACTGTGGAATTGATTGTACCTACTGGAAACCTAGTTTATTCCTCAGTACAGCAACCATATGACTGACATTCAATCCATGATGAGCTTGAGAAGGTCCTAATGGTGACCCGGTCCCAGGGGGAAAAAAAACGTGGCTTGATAACTTAGCAACATAAATGACAAGACATACTAAGTTAGCCAACTGTGGCCATCTTACTGGTCTTAAAAGTGTTATATTGGACTTTCCATATTTCTGTTTTCTTCCATTAAAAAAAAAAAAAGGACCTTTCAAGATTTCCCTTTGAAGACTCATTAAAATATTTTATTCAAGCTTGTGTTGCTAGAGTATGTATGAAGTTTATTCTAGTTGTTGATGTATGTTGACTGTTTGTTCTTACCAATAACTGATTGGAATAAGCATGTATTGGAAGGTTGGAAGTGCATGGGCATGTTACAAAACCAAATGGATTTTCTCCAAAAGAAAACCAAGCAACAATTCACCATATGTTTTTTAAGGATCTCACTGAGAGTAAAGACAAATGTGAGCATAAGAATGAGATGTTTTCAGGCAAGGCTGACACAAGGGGTCTCTTTGAATAAGGATCTTGAGCATTTGTGGTTTTGGAGCTCATCCTTAATGGCCTGCAAGGGAACAATTGAAAAAACAAAAAGACCTGTGTTGTGTGTGCATGTTGAATGATTAAAAAAAAAAAAAAGAAAGAAAGAAAACCACTTGCCAAATCCTAATAGCTGTGGTCAGAAGCTGCTGGCAGACATGCATGGGTGGTTAGCGCACGGGTGGTGTCGTCGTTATCCTGATTATTTGCTGTGTGGGTGCGTGTGATGGTTTTTGTCTGTCTGTTTCAATGTGGGCACTCCTTTTTAAATGTCTTGTGCCTTGTTCTTTTCTGTCCCATGTGTTCCCTCTCCCTTCCCTTCCCCACCCCCTGACCCCCATGAGGGTCAGGTGACAGCATGCCCATGGTCTGGAATAGCGCTTGTGCTTCTGCTGCACTGCGATCAGCTGGCTTCTGGGTTGGAGGTCTCTCTCTCTCCTTCTCTCTTCTCTCTTCTCCTCTCTCCTCTCTCCCTCTCTCTGTCTTCCATCTCTCCTTTCCTCCCCCTATTCCCTTCAACCCACTCTTTCTAACTCAGCCTGCCTTTTCTCCTTGTTGAGACAGTGCAGACTGGGGCTCTCATGGATTTTCATATCCCACATGAGTTTTCAGATAGATTAATTCATTTCAGAATGGAAAACCCCTCTGAAACAATCTTTTCCATCTTGGTTTCAAAGTATTTGGCCAGTGCTAGAGAACGAGCCCACACCCCAGACCAGTACCTGTCTTTAGGTAACAACCCCACAAGTCTCTCTTTCCCTGATTTATGACTAGTGCAGACTGTAATAGAATTCTAGAAGCATTGTGTTATGTCCTTATCTTACGTGTTATTCAGTTGTGGGGAAATTTGTAAGCCTGTTTGAAAGAAGACTAGCCAGCAGTGCACTTGATTACAACCGCTATGTCCACCGTCTGTGTATGTACCTCTGTACATCTCTGTATGAGTACATAACAATGGCATTCAAAGGCTGTCATTCAGTCAAGGGACTCTGCAGACATTGTATGTTCTACCCAAGAACAAAGCTAAAGAGGTTTACGAATGGCTGCAGGACCTGAAGATTGCGTTGCAGCCTTGATATGCAGTTTGGAAACTATGTGCTGCTGTTTAACGGCGTGAACCAAATTTCTGCTAATGGGAAGAAGGGAAAAACTCTCCACAAAAGCTGACAAAGCAGGAAGAACAGGATGACTGAGCTTTTAGATTAAAACAACCGGGGGCGTCTGAACTCTTATGGCTGGTGGTGGAAGTATCAGTTTCCATGACATGGCCAAGTGATCAGATGTGTGCTGCGTAGGTAAGAGAGAGACCGTCGCCTACTTTGTTTTTCCTAATGAGAATGGTACTAAGGCCAGTGGGCCGAGGTTTTCTTTCCTAGGAATTTTTTTTCATAATTTTCTGTAATATATATATGATAACCTAATGAGTCGAACCCAGGATCCTCTTTAAGTATACTTTATTTTTGCATTTAATTGAAATGGCTAGGATTTCTGACTGGTTCTAATTCTCTGAGGTTTTTCTTCTGGTTTAAAATTGCCACATTATAACCAGCATGAGAAGCCAGCAGATGCTGAAGGAGGAACAGCTCCACAAGTACACAATGCTTAGCCTGAACCACAGCATCCATGAGGTGTATGCAGAAGAGACAACCTTCGTGCATAAATTAAATTATCATGTCTGCACCTTAGGACTTCCTTATTTGGGGGGGAAAAAAAATCCCGTATACAACAAAAGTAAACTTTCACTTGTTTAACAGAGTTTAAAGAAATGCATTGCATGCATTTTAATTAGATATGACTAGAAAGAGCTTGACTAGATGATAGGAAACTTTGAATAGAAGCACCAAGAAGTAATTTCCCACTTATTATTAAATGGCAATGCTTCCTTTTGAGAAATATTCTCTGCTTCATAAAATGCATCTTTGTCATTTTCTTTGAGAAAATGAGAGGAGTCTAATTTTTAACATGAAAGAAAAATACCTAAGCCAGAGCAATTCTAGGAGGTGGATTTTTGTCTTTCCTCACTTGTACAACAGTGCTAAACTCTTTTAATTATATTTATTCAGAAATTATCCAACTATGGCAGTGTGCTGTAGATTCATAAGAAACAATTGCACTGCAAAAACAAATTTAACGCCACTGGCCTAAATGGCTGCTCAGTTTGGAACATAATCTAAGCAGGAGATTCCAGATGATTTGGTATATTTTAAAATTTTGTGCCTTTAAAAATGACAGTTTCAGCTTTAATGAGGTGTATATCAACTGTCTGTCACTTCTTAATGGAAAACTTTGCATGTCAATGATTCTTCATAAACATATTTGTCTTTACTTTTTTAAATTAGCTTTCTAGTGTCCTCCCCAAGGAAACAGGCTTTCAGCAGTAAAGTTGCCTACTTGAAACATCCTTGTTTAATGTGATTCAATGGGCACCAAGCACGTATGTAGAACACTTTGATATTCATCAGGCCATGTAGTAGTGAGGGATTAGCCTTCTGTGAACTGCAAATTCATAATTAACTACAGATAACTACTTTATGTTGCCCATTTATAACAGTCATTCAAATAATTGTATTCATTAGTCTTTATACAATGGATAAAGCCAATTAGAAATAGAAACATTTTCAGCCAATCAGATTTCAGGACAAAGGGCTAGCATTTCTCCTCAGCTGCCTCTATAATTTATTGCATTACCATGTTCCCTTTAGTTGCCTGGTTTCATAGCTTCTGAACACCTGTGAACTCTAAAGGCTTTCATTTTGATTTGATTTCTGCTCTGGAGCACTTGGCCCTCAGGGTTCCTGAGAGAAAGTCTCTTCTCAGGACTGATAGTGGGCCTGCCTCCTCATATACTCAACCAACTCACCATGTTCACTTGGCTTCTTTGTAAATTGCCTTAGAAAATTCAAGCTTTAATGACCACTTACACAAGGTTGTTGTAGTTCATCTCAAATAAATATAAATGGCAAGCAGTCTGCCATTGTTTATTTCCAGAGCATTTGTTTTGGTTGCCTTTAGGCTTTGGTCAGTAGTTGACCAAGAATGACTCTCAAAGCATTAATTCAGCAAGTACTTACTAACAATATAGTTTGTGCTAATCTCCAGGAAGAGGAAAGATACAAAAATAAACAAAACTATTGTCTCTCCAAAGACCTTACAGCTGAATTAGATCCACAACCATCTTCAAAACAACAGACACAGACTATATGACAGCTGTTGGGGGGATTCGAGTTCCTGGGGCAATAAGATGGGATTGGAGAACAGCAATGAATAAGCAAAGGCCACCTTGACCATCTTAACGTTTTAGGGTGTTTAATAAACTTCCTTAAAAGATGAGCTGAGACGTGAGCGTGAGGAAATGGAAGCCATCTCTAGCTGAGCCTCCCTCTGCTGAGCTACTCTCCTCTTTGTCTCTCTTGATACAGAGCAGAGCTGGTGGAGAGGCATCCCCACAGACCCACATTGGGATTGACAGGGACACGGGCATTTCAAGCCCCACTCGCTATCTCCTGACCAACTGCTTTTTCAGCTTTGAGGGTTTTATTTTTCTGGAATACCATTGATTTATGAAATTCTTCTTTTAAAATAACAAGTTGTGAATCAGAATTTTCTGATGAAGGCATAACCTGCAATCTGCACTTAGCAGATGCTGTACCATTTTGAAATATGTGATCCAAGATCATTCTAAATTGATAAATGAACTATGTTTGTCAGTATTGGCAAAGGATTTCAATTTTCAGCAAAATGCAAGATAAAACTTACATATGTCAGTATGTAGCATCTAAATACATTCATATTTAAGAGATCTATCAGAGTGTCCACAGCTAACAATCCAGGTTTACTTTTTTTCTTTCTGCATGTTTATTTGAATGAGTGAGTTTGAAACATTCACCCTCATGTTTCATGTGCTTTCAACAGTAGAGGCTGAGGACTCTTTCTGCCTTGACTGTATATCAATGACAATTACATAATTAAGGAAATGAACATATGGATTAATATATTCAAGCTATCCAAAAAGTGAGAGATAGCAAGAGATTTGGCTCATGTTTTCTTATTTAAAACAAAATCCATCCTCAGTTCGTAAGTGTTTTGTTTATGTCCCTGGAGGAATGAAAAGAAAAACGATTTGTTTTTACTTGTAAGGCCTTACTCAGTTGCCCAATTCCGCAGAAGAACTGGACAGTGAGGATCTCTCAGGTAAGGGCTAGTCATTAGGTAAGGTGCTGCAGTGTCCAACCTGTGGGTGTTTGTCCACTGTGACCAAATGACCACTTGGATTTCTGAGCAATCAGTGTGGGTGCTGAGACTAAGAACAAATCACCTGTAGATAATTTCTTCTCCTTTCTCACCCACCTTTCTTTCCTATGGTTACAATATGTCTATTGCAGACCATGGCCTGTGCTTTTAATACAGTATAGAGCAAAATGCTGAGGCCACTCTGCTTGCTGACTTGAAGTAATATTTCCATCCTAGAAATTTGGTTGCATTATAAAGCAGTTGATGTTGGATTATGTGACATGATCTTAAAGTCATATTGACTGTCTACTTCTGTGGAATAGACTAGAAAGCCATATCATATACTTTGAAGTAGGTGGTAGAGCAGGGCAGGGAGGCAGGGGGACAATTGTTTTGTCACACACCAGGCTGTAAACTAATTATCCACCTCAGACCTTTTCCACAGCATACTGAGCTCTTGCAAAAAGTAGGTTTCATGCTTGATTCCAGGGTTTAGCTGTTACTAATCCTAAGTAAGAAGCATGTCCTAAAAAGGTGGGAGGAAGGAGATTTAAAGTGGTCAGAGCTAAACAATTATACGAGCTCCCATGATAACATGAGACTTCAGTGACAACTACCTGCAGCTTCTGAAGCACTTTGATTGGTCACTTAGTGAATCAGTAAGCAAGCCCTTGACATTGCAATGGAGAAACCAAGGCACCCGCATGTGAGCCCACTGGAATGCAGGGTTCCATATTACTGCTTCCTAAACAGCGTTCACTATAGTTGTTTTGAATGACTGGCACTTGAGGTGCCATCCTTAACTATATCTCAGTGAAAACACAAGCTACTACTCCCCCCATATCTGAGAACTCACTGAATGTATTTCCAGCTGTGTGCTTCTTTCAGACCTCACTTCTCTAATCTGTCCCATGTGCCAGGGGAAGCTGAGCTGTTGGAATTTCCCAGAGTAGACACTTCCAGGAGACTATTCACTGAGTCTGTCCCCTGCTTGTTCCTGTCTTAAAGTAAGCACCCTGCTTTTTTGGATAGATAAATAAATTTTAAATACCAGTGAATTTCAGTAAATAAATAGATTAGGAAGGTAATCACCTAATAGCCATGTCATTCATTTGCCTCTTGTGGCAGAAAAATTTAAAGAAGTTGCAAAACATGAAAAAGAAATAAAACATCATTTTCTTTTAAAAATAGAAGTAGGTAAGTCATGCCTGGCTCTAATGTAATGCCAGAAGTAAACAACTGCTTGCCTTCTGGATGCAGGTGCTCTCTGTCCTGTCAGTCATCTGAGAGCAACCCCAGATACAGTGTCCCTGCACAATGCACAATTGGATCTTTCAGGAATCTTGAGAAAGTTCTCCTGGGTTGACCCTGATCTCTCTTGGCATGTTTTTCCAGAAAAGGGTCACTCAGACAGGAATTTTTGTCCTCTTTAGGAAAACGTGAGTCAGCCAAGGTACCTCTTCTCCCAGCATCATCAATTAGGAACACTGCAGTCTCAGCCCTGCAACATGTTAGATGGGTCCTCACTGCAGTTCTATCAATCACCCAAGTCAGGAGCAATAAACCAACAACTGTTTGTGTTCATAATAATTCGGTTAAATTAATAATTACATTGCCACTCTACTCCCTCCAGGACCGAGGCACTCCTATTGCTGGAAGTCATAAGTCATGTAGAAAGCTGATGAACTAGCAGGCTGGGCTGGGTTGCCTTTGCATCTGGTTTGATGAACTAATCAAAAACTGATTAGCACCTTTGTTCAAAGGGGATGCTGATTAATCAATTACTATTGATTGTGAACTTGGGCTTCTCTAGGCAGCAAAGAGACATCTAAAGGGAGAAAAAAACAACCAATAAAAATTGAACAGCTGTCATAGTGCTTAAATTTATTAAAACAAAATACATTATTTTTTATGAAGCTGTCTTGAAATGGGTCACTGAAGGGGAGCATATTGATTGAGAAAGGATGAACTTCTCAAATTTCTGTAGCCTGGAGACTGAATTCAATTATAATACAAGACAAACAGGTTAACACCAGCCTTAAACAGCCCATCAATAAATTAGAGTAGGTGTTGCCCATTTAATGCTAAACTGTGATAATGAATAATGCTCCCCACTCCCTGCTGTATTGGGTAGAAAGTCTATCCTTTACACATTAGGGATTAATGTTTCACACTTCCAAATCTTCCCCGCCCCCACCCCTCATCCTCCATTCACCAGTGCCTGCCTCAGTTAATGACTGTTTCATAGGCAGCATATGGTGCGCAGCCCTCAACCAGCAACTTGAGATGCTGGGCTGATCCTCCTTTGTAATCTGCATTTAAAAACAAAAAAAAAAAAAAAAAAAACTATGCCTAGTTCACTGGTTTAATTATTGGCCAACTTGGGGGGTTTAATCTGGCTCTCCCTTGAACCCTTTTATTTACTTTTTGGGTGTTAATTTTATTGACGATAGAGCCACACTAGTTTTGAATTGTTTTATCAATTACATCTGCCGTTTCTTGGTGACAGCTGGTGGTTATTGCCACCCATGTGGAATAGAATAGCTTTAAGCATATTTATCCTTCTATTTTATTTTAAAACTTTAACAAAAATGTCTCCAACTGCTTCCCTCCCTTCAGCAGTGGAGGGGCCTCCGGGAACTGTTGAGTGGAGTGAGGTGGTAAATTGTGTGCTAGAGAATGGCCCTCAGCACCAGAGAGCAGCCCATCTTTCCCCTGCTTTAGAAGCAGAGGCACTGACAAAGCATTCCAGTGCTGTTTTCAACTCTTGTTACCCTCCAAATGAGAAAGTGATCTGGAAAAATCCTTCATGCCCTTCACAAGCCACAAAAACATGCTGGGGATGGGCAGAATTCTGCTTGACTTCCATAACTCTTGCATGGGTGTTAGGAGAAATCCTGGTGAAATCTTGGCTCCCTTGGTGGATTATAGAGGAAGCCTGGGCTTTCCATCCTAGGCCTTCATATCCAGGGATTCTCAGACAAGAGGCAATATGCCCGCACTTGCTCCTGGACACGTGTGTCCACCATCACAAGGTGAAGACATTCATACATACATGCACTAGCACAGGCACAGGCACTCAGTAGCCACCGTGTTTAAAAGAACTCTTCAGTTAGCACCACATGAAGCGTGACTGATTTGGCAAACAGGCAATTGAATTTCCTTGATAGATAATATGTCCAAAAAGAAAGGATAGGAAGGGAGATACGGTTAAGGTGTAGCCACAAATCTTAAGTGTTTTTTTCTTTTTTTGTGATTCTGAGGATTGAATCTAGGGCTTCACATATGCTAAGTAATTAAGTACTACCACTAAGTATATATTGCCTAATTTTTATTCTACGAAAGTATTTGAGCTCCATGTGTTTGGCTCTGGGCTGGCCCCTAAGACACAGGTGAATAAGGCCCAGTAGGCATTGGACCAGCCTTGTATTTCACACACTAGTCCTGTCAGTCGATGATAACTTTCTAGTGGGAAACATAACCTGGATACCCAAGCTGATCATGACTATGGGAAGTTAATCCAAATAGCTGCAGCTGAAGGGTTGGGACAAGGGAGGGTGGAGGCCAGTTTAGAAAAGCATACCAGAGACCAAGGCCAGGAAGACCTGCTGCATGAAAATGGGCCAGCAGCTCTGGCCTCTTGAAATTCCTTCAGGATAGTTAAGGCAGGGTTGTTCATTTACAAGTGAAGAAAGTTGGCACCCATGTGAGGCCCAGACAGTTTATGTGGGCAGATTTAAACATGCTTCTCCTGCCTACAGAAATAAAAATGGAGCCCTCCAGTTCCAGGTCTGCAGCCTCTGAGAACGCCACAGCTTCCTTCATTCTAGAGTCTCTCCAGCATACAATTCCTGTTGGCCCTTTTCATATTAGTGTGAGAAAATCAGGGAAGGGGAAGTTCGGCTCTGAGTCCTCTCAGATAGCTGACTTACCTGGACAGATTATTTTAACCCTCAAACTTAGTGCCTTCCCTGTCAGAAAAGATCCATCCATGCTCTCCTCGGACTTTTCCATGCCTCTGCCCCATGGAGTCCTCAAAATGATGGGATTGAGTCCCCCTGAGGTGGCCCTAAATGCCATTGCAAGATGATGCTTGACAAAGGCTAAGACACAGACGTTTCCTTCGTTAGAAGTTAAGTTGTGCTCTGTGGTAACCTTGGAGCTCAGGGTCTGAAGCAGAAGGACCTTGAGTTTAGTGTGAATCAGTGCCTTGAGAGCTCTCATTGGGGCCTATGGTCAGTGACTTTCCCACAAACGGGATTCTGGACTCCCCCTCTTACTGATCTTTCCCATAATCCAACATGCTACTGTTTTCACCATGGGGAGAAAGGTGGCCACCACCAAGTAGACCAAACCTCTCCTTCAGACGAAAATGTTGTTAGCCACAGTGTGAAATGTGAGTTCCAGTCCCACAGGGTGGACACTGCTTTGGGGTGACTTCACCATATTCATGATTCCATCCTTCTCACACCCCCAAATGCCTGAGGAGGACCACAACATCTATCTATAGACAGTCTAGTGGAATGCCTGTTTGGAAGTACTTCACACTCGGTCCTCTTTACCAGGTTCCTATAAGGAAAAGTCCAGTGTCATCCTCAGTAAAAGTCAATCCCACTTCCAAGGGTCCTGTTACAAGATGAGTAGAGCAGGGGTCTCTCTGAAGAGGCTAAATGCCTTGGGATTGGCATCCTGTTTTGTGGAGTTATTTCTGCTGATGGTTAAATTAACTAAGCCAAGTGGCTGGAGAAGAGAGAAAAATCAACATTTTAAGAGACTTGTCCTAATCTTTAGCCACAGCGTGTTTAACATTACAGTCCTCAGATGGTATCCCTGAATCATACTGTCATCCTATAGCCCTGTGCTCCCTTCATCACCATAGAGAATGGTGAAGCCATTAGATGCGGCTCTCATCAATTCCGTAAAAGTGAAATGAAAGCTTGGTTAATGTTGCTCCTAAAGAG